GGCCCTCCTGGGTGTCCTCAGAGTGGCAGCCTGTCTTCTGGGTGCATCTGCCGATCACAGTTGAGGTGGCGCCATGTGCTCAGAGAAGAAAAGGCCCCTGACCCCCTGACCCATGCATGCCACGTGCGTGGGCAGTAGGGACAGAAAGAGATGCTTAAGAAACACACAACACAAATATGAAACGTGGACAGACATTAGACAGCACAAACCTCGGCAAAGAAATGGTGCCCCAAACCAAAATTACAAACAACCCTTGGACTTACGTCCAGGGTGGAACCAAGGGTTCACGTCTGCTTACCCTATGGTTCAATTACAAATTACAAATTCTGTGCAGATCAAATACAAATTACAAATTCTGTGCAGATCAAATCAAGCAACCCTCGGACTTTCATCCAGGGCAGGACTTCAGGGTCTTCCCCAGAAGTCCGAATTACAATGAAGTCCAAATTCCAAATAATACAAATTACAAATTCTGCGCAGATCAAATTCAAGTCATGGCACCAGACCAACAAAACAGCAAGAGACATAACACGCAAACATATAGCAAACCGCAAACATATAAGTTGCGAGCTCGAATCATCTTACCTCCAAGATCGAATCCGAGCAGGCAAGAGTAAGAAATATACCCGCTACTACCTCACTTCTAACCTGTAAGATGTCCTGATCTTGTTTTTTGCCCATGTGCTTTTTCTGTTTAAAGGACCAACCTCAGGGGTTCTCAGATGCCAAATGTGTTGGAATTTTCATGAATTAGTGGGTCAAAAATCTGACACAGAAGGAAGTGGACTTGCAAGCTATTTTTTTCATAGAATTCCAGCAAGCCCACAGAGCCCCAGAAATTCACTTCGGGACTAAGTTGAATGCCCTGAAGATGTGAAATTTCCACCTGTGCTATCAAAGATGACATATTTCAGTCAGGATTGACAGAGTTTTCGTGAGCTGCATAACACAACACGGCATTTTCTTCCTGTTAATTGTACACTGTAGTGCTCTCTACGTCATTGCTGTGCGCTTGT